AAAAAAAATCCGCTTTTTCTGCCATATATGTAGCTGAGATAATTTATTTTTGAACCCCAAAAAATTGTGCATAATTTTGGGAGAAAATCCAGATTCTGGAGTAGGACTTGGAAAAAATTCCAAATTTAGAAAAAAACTGAAAAAGAAAGTTTTTACAGAAGTGTTGATGTTGCAATGAATGGGGATATCGACGAATGCTTTTATTTAAAAAAAGTTATTAATTTCATATTTTTAATAAATGGGAATCGGATGAATTTGATAAATTTTCTATGTATCTAAGAGTTTTAGGGAAATCCTATTAATCTCAAATTACACATAAGGAACCTGATAATGACTCTCCCACGGGAACTCCTCTTCGTCAATATCTGGCTTTTTAAAGCTGATATCCTCATCGTATCTGTTCTTCGGACGCAAATGTTCCATTCTTTCACGCTACAAATCAATTTACAAAATTCCTTAATGGCACTGATTTCTTCGTCACACAGAATCAGATTAAAGCTTACCTCCTTCTGTCTTCTCTCCTTCATTTCCTTGATTTGATTCATGAAATTTTCGAAATCATCGTGGTGTGTTATTTCCTTTGCTTTTTCTGTGGGAGCCTTATCGGTTACAATAGGCTGTGGTATCGGTTCAGCAACTTCTCGATACGGCTTTGTGGTACTTGGGACGCCTTGTTTTGTACCAATCACTACCTGTAACAAAAAATTAATTGGTCAGAATTAAAAATCAGTTGATAAGCCGCTGTTGTGGCATTCTAATCGTGAAGGAAAAGTTTAAAGTTAGAACTCTGAATTTTTCTAACAAGACCTTTCAATTCACCGGTATCCGTTAGGTCTTAGCGTCTAAAAATTTTGACTTGAAATGCTTTAAATCGGGAATTGGAACAACTAAAAGCTACAAAAGATATTCGCTGCCCACGCGCGATTTAAAGATTTCAAGCCCAATTCCTGAGTATTCCCCTCCCCAAAAGCTCCCGCTCTCCCAAAGCATACCGTTTACTCAAACTGCACTCGCTCCCTTCCAAACTCCACCTACTCTCTCTCCAAATTTCACACACTCATTTCTAAGTCTCACTTTTCTCCAGGTCCTGCCCGCCTTCCCTCAAACTCTACTCCTCCACCCCACAGAATTCTACTGGTCCTCTCTCAAAACTTTATTCCTCCCAAACCGCACCCGCACCCTCCCTCGCCACCTCGCTTCCCTCCCCTCCCCCCACCCCCCCAAACCCCACTCACGCGCCGCTTTCCTAAACCCCAACAACCCTTCCCCCAGCCAATGCATTCGGATATAACAATTAACAAGACTCTTCAAGGCAACAGAAGTACCCCTCGCCACTTTGCCAAAAGAGTCCAATACATTATCAAAATTTTATTAAGTTGATAGACGTACCCCGCCTCTCCACCATATTTGCATATGTACGTCTACAACAAGAGTAAACCCTCTTTTCTACAGTGCATTCACACTAGGAGGCTGTTGTGTGATTTCGGTTTTTTTTTCTCTACAGACTTCGAATGAGAGGAAAAACGCCGTAACGGAAAGAAACAGCCTTCTTCTCTATACACTGTGGTTCTAGTTTTTCTGAAGAAACTTATAATTAAAACTCGTAACGGCACAGATACCATAAAGCGTTACTTTATCTACTGTTAAGACTTCCAAGTTTCAGCTTTCTCGCTTTTCTCGCTCTCGAGTTGAAAGTAATTGACAAAAAGTGCGAATACACAGATATATAGTCAGATACGCTCGCATACAGACAGCCTCTTGTAAATATGCGTTTTTCCATTTGCATGTATGCAAAAAACGCATAAAAACTAAAAAAAAGAAAAAAAAAAAACTACGTCTTACACTTTGCAAAAATCGTTAGTCTATGCGGTGTAAACAAATTAGGTTCAATAGTAAAAGATTTGGTATCATTAAACAATAATATCCAGGAGTATTTTTTCAAGTGAATATTATAAAACTGACGAATGAAACTCACTTCCATAGAGTACTCTTTGCTTGGCGATAACAGTACCGGACTCTTCGTTCCTGGCAATGACCGAAGGCTACCGGTGCTTTGTGGACTCAATACTTCTGAAATATAACTTCCACACATATTTTTTCGACTTTTTAACTGCAGGGGTTAAGATTATTTTGGGGATCAAAGTGTAACTCTTGATGCTCTCGCACTGTTCCGTAATGCATGGGTTTTTTCGGAGTGTTCCATCCCCGAAATTACTTGTTTTGAGTCATACATCGCGATACAAAAACAAAATGCCACGAAGATACAAATATTTGACGATGAACATTCCAGAACTCACCATCAAGAACTAGCGGATGGTTCTGAAGTCCTTCGAGGAAAAGTGGCGCACCAACAGGAATCTGTGAATCCGACTGACCTGGATGACGGTACTGAAA